CCGAAGGGCATTACCGTAAACTGGAATAGGCCTAACCCGGGTACGGTGAACGCGGTGATCGGTCGGCTTTCCTTCGCTAACGGCACCTGCCAATAGCCTTGTTTTAAGTCCAGTGTGCTGATGTACCTCGCCGGCCGTAGTTTCTCCAGAATCGCGTTGATTCTGGGCAGCGGATACGCGTCGGGGACAGAGCACTCGTTGACTTTACGCATATCGATGCAAAACCGAAACTTTCCGTTGCTCTTCCTCGTCAGCACGACTGGCGAACTCCAAGGGCTATCCGATGGTTCGATAACACCATCGCGGAGCATCGTCGCCACCTCTTCGTCGATGATAGCTTGCATCGCGGGATTCCTGGGATAATACCGTTGCTTGACGGGAGCGGCGTTTTCTTTGAGCCGTATCGTGTGCTCAGCCAACGCCGTCTTCCCCGAAACGTCGTCAAACAGTGGTAGTTCGCGTTCCAGGAATTCTGTGAGTCTCGTGTCTTCTTCGGAGGTCAAATTTTCGAGGGCGTTTACCGGATAGGACGGGGGAACGTCGTCGTTGCGGAGGTTTCGTACAGCGGTGTGTACACTGACAAGAGCGAGGTCAGTAATACACCGAATGCCGAGTACCACCTCCACACTCAGGTTCGGGACATGTAGGGCATCCCACGAATACGTCTGGCCCGCGATTTCACCATCCACTCTGTATCGATCCGAGACACGGCAACTCGCTCCGTTGGCCATACGTAGGTTGACGTCAGCCTGGTCGGGTACGCTGCCGCACGCCCGAAGGTGACGTACGGCGCGATCTCCAATCAGACTGACCGACGAGCCGGTATCGACGAGGGCGCTGAACGTCTCACCTGAGATGACCACGTCCACGAAGGGTCGGTCATCTCTGGGGGCGCGTTCGCGGCTGACGGTTCCAGTGAATTCCGTTATGAAGCCGAGCCAGCGATTCCACTCCTCGGAGGTCGTACGGCGTTTCGTTCTACGGGGCTCAGGCGACCTCCCGCAGACTGAACCCGATGGCCGTTTCCCGAGCCGCAGTTGCAACGACGCGTCGAGATGCCTACCCTCTTGCAGTGGTAGCAACGCAGGACCTTGGGCTTCGAACACTCGCGAAACAGATGTCCGGTTTCGTCGCAGTTCCAGCACACGAATTGCCGAGAGCCTGCCGCTCGTTCGTTCGTCGTACCGGGCGATCTGGTCCTCGTAGAGTCCGGCGTCCGCCTCCGCCTGTAGTCGACTCGTAGCGAAGGGTCACGGGGGTTTGACCGCGCAAACGTTGTAGTCTTGCGACCGTCCTCCAAGGGTTTACCAGGTCGAGACCTGGCCGTCACCTCGGATTCCCCTTCATGGTCGTCCGACAAGCGATCAATTGCCGCGCTATTGTAGACCCGGTCGACTTTCCGATCACGAACGTAGGCGGTTTCCGGGATCAGCGACATCGAAGGTGGTGGCGGCGGACGGAAGGTCTGTTGGCAATGTACATACGCCTCGTACCCCTCAGCTCTTTCCAACAACTCCTCCAGGGTACAAAAATCGGTACGACGTAAGACGAGTTTGTACTCCGGGCGCATGTTGCGGTATATGAGGTCGAGTTTACCCTGCTGCGAGAACGTACCGCTCCTCCGAATCAACGTTGAGAGCGCGACGACGTAGTCACGAATGGATTCGCGCTCGCCTTGTGTCCGTCGCCTTACCTCGTCGTCTAGATCTTGTCGATATAATGGAGGGAGGTATTGATCTTCGAACTGATGTTTGAAATCTTGATACGTCCGCCAGCTACCGTGACAGTTCCGATACCAAAGCAATGCCGGGCCGTGAAGGAGTTCCGGCAAAGCCTTCGTCAGCTCGTCGATATCGATTGAGTAGGCTTCCGCCAACTCCTCCAGACGTTCCAGAAACGAGACCGGGTCCTTCTTGCCGTCAAACCGCAGATTCCACTTGCGGACCCGATTGCACAACGACGGCGTGTCGTCTCCCACTCTCGTCCCACCCCACGGGTTGGGGTTGTCTGGACGTGAGGTTGAGAAGGCGGGTCGTGGTTGTGACGTCACCAGGCCCTGGTTGGATCGCGGCCATTCGTGGGTCCGGTCTTCGAACTCGTGACGAGGGATGTAGGTTCGGTCTTCGTAATCGTGACGCGTCGTCTGGGTTCGTGCCGGTATGATAGGCTGTCGAGGAAGTGTCAGGTCGTACGACGTCTGGTAAGTAGTTGGCCGTTCTCCGCGACTCTCAAACATCGTGCGGGATTCGCGTTCTGTCGGTAGACCGGAGGGTACGGGGTACGACAGAATGTCTTCCCCGGTCGACGGGATGTAGACCGGACGCTTTACCAACGCCGCGAGGGCTCGTCGAACGGATTCGGAATCAGCGTTTGGAGAGACTCCGAGCATTTCTCGCACGCTGGCCATCTCCTGGTACGCGGAAGGAGGTGCCAGCCACTGTCGGATTTGCGTATCGTAGGCTGTCGAGGCTGTAGGCCCCAATGCCGCTATCGCCGTCGGGTTCATCGGTTGACCGATGCTTCCCAACGGGTTCTTCCAATAATCACAGAACCGTTTGCGAAGTTCGGCAACGCTACCCTCAGTTTCTAGATGATATTTACTCATCTCGGCTATCAGGAGCTGTTTGCTCAGGGTATGAATCCAGCCGACGCGTGAGTCGTCCAACGGTGATTTCGGGATGCTCTCCATCGTCGAAGGTATTTGGGAGATCGTCGTCGTGGTCGTGGTCGTCGTTGACGTCGTAATTCCCACCGTAGATATCATCACGGGGCCGATCGGTAGCGTATCGGGTCGGGCAATGGTCGTCGGGGTACTCGAAGTCGTTGATTTTGTTTCTCCAGTCATTTCGTCTAAATTTCAAAGTCCAAAACCGTGTTTTCGAGTCCAAATGTTCGGGCGCCAGAGATGTGACGCAAAATTCTACAAAATGACGGTACTAGGACGTGAGACCGAGGAAGCTCAGTCCCTGTTCGGGCGCCGGAGATGTGACGCAAAATTCTAGGGGGGGAATAAACTAGTATTCACTTAAGTCAGGCTAGGCCTACCCTAGAATCGGCCACACTCAAATTTCTTCCCCGGAGTGCTCAGAAGGAGGGACGTCAGAAGGAGGAGGTACGTTAAAGTGTTTTGGTGAATTTTGCCTAACTTTTGGAATGACTCTGTAGGGCCGACGAGTATTCAAACTTAAGCCAATGTGATTCAATTACTCGTAATGAACTTTAAAATAATTAGCTAAAGGCCTAGGTAAATAATATAAAATCGAATATAATGTAAGACCCAATCCCTACAGAGTCGTCGGGGCCTAATTAATATAATTGGACGGATAATTTAACGTGAGTGGTTTAAAATAAATTTAATACTGATTTTCGTAGGCTGATTATTCAACTCAGCCTGCTCCCAAGACTCGATTCTTTCACCCGCCAAAGACGGGGTTTAGAACTCAGACGACGAGTCTCGGGGTATTAAAACGTCGAATTAACTGGAATAACTTAAGTAATAATTTAATCGTGAAACGAACTGAATTAACGTAATTTAATAGCCAATTGGTTTAAAAGAGCCGAAAAATATCCACCGCTAGTCACTGGCAGGCAGGAACTGGCGGGTTTTGCACGAGTCGGCAAGAACGAAGTTAATAAAATTTAGAAAATTATAATCGAACGTAAACGGATAAAATAAATGGCAGACGAGTATGCGTATGTTAGAAAAAGAATATTTAAAAGAAAGTAGGAAAGTCTGAAAACGTAGCTAACCTGAAACGATATCGTATGGCGCAGTTAGTTTCGTTGTGCGAAGAGGCTTCTCGTTAACGAGTCGACGGTCGAACAGCGAATAATTCTTGTCCGGCTCAAATCATGATTTCCTCGGTCGAGGCTTAATCGCTCTGGTGGTGAGTTCGAGAACTAGCCAACAGCTGATCGGAAATTCACCTGTTGAGCCGGTCTAGTTGTCGTCTGTCGTTGGTCAACAAACACCATTTTGAGGTTAAGTGATGTTGTAATCGGCGTTAAATATTCGTAAAATCGGTCGTTTTAACTTTATTATGTGAAACGGAGTGCTATTATGAATAAATATGTAGTTGTGGGTGTGTTCGTGTACTTCACTGTTATCAAAAGTAGGCCTACGTTCTTTGGCCCATAGCCCAAGCTAGGGCCAACACATAGGCCTAGGATTAGGATGTTGTGGATAAAAATCGGGTAAGTAATGGTGTTTGTTGACTAGCAATACGTTTTTACCCCCCTTAAAATTTGGTACCTCACAGTATAAATTTTTTTTTGGTCTCAGAGAACATTAAAATTAAAAAGTACCAAGGCCCACAACAAGAGCAAAAGGACTCTCCATTTGGGGATATCCTGTGTGTTATGTTTTAGGTAAAAATTATCCATATAGTAGGTTGGTTTATCTGGGGCTTGATCCCATAGTGGCAGGATTTGAGGGGTTGTTTTGTACCGAGGCCCACAACAAGACAAAAAGGACTCTCTCCATTTGGGGACATCCTGGATGTTCCATGATTATTGCAAAGTAACCAACAACCTCAGCCATTATTTCCCTGTTATTAAGGAGTGCTAACCTTTAACCTTAAAAACATTATTTTATAACCTTTAAAATAATGCCCGGGAAAATTTTCCTGTCCCTAATTGCAGCCTCTATGGAGTTGAAACTTATTGTTGAATGCAGCTTGAATATCCATAAGTACCTCTGAGAGGACCTTTTGATGCTCCAGTGTCTTCTATAATTATCATTACCTTTAAAATACACACTCTCTGTGTTGTCATATAAAACTCATATATCTATGCATGGATCCGAGGTTTTAATAAAATTATCTTGGCTTGAGATCAGTTGCTTTTTGGCCTGTGAACAAACCATTTGGACACCTTTCTTCATCCTACACTATCTAATCCTATATTCATCAGCCTTAAAAACATTCATCCAAGTGTATGTAGCTTAGCTGACTTAATCAATACACTCTATTTAATATTTCATAACTGTTGCTTTTTTCCAGATATGGTCAAGAAGAAGAGGATCGGCAATGGGACTCGGGGGGAGGGGGTGGGGGACAGGGGCAGGACTATTACTATAGCAACTACTACCGTCAAAATAGATATGAAAATAAGATCAACCGATCGCGAACGAAAAGAAGTTCCAGTAACCGAGAATTGACCAGAGGGTTCTCCGAGTCTATGGATGATGATGTAAGGTTTTAATTAGTTTGTATTGCACAATAGTACCTAGATAATCCGGCGTAAACGGTCAGCCAGTCTGCTAGATTTAGGAAAAAGGACGGACTATTGAAAGACCAATTGAATCGTTGAACTAGATTTAAAATTTCTAAATTCGAGACAGCTAAACCTCCTGCAAAAGTGTAACGGCAAAAGTAAACAAAAATAATAACAACCAATAATTAATTCCAGTCTAGTTGTTATGAGCTTTTTGCTTTTTGTATTGAGTGGATGCTGGCAAGTGCGACAACTTGTCTGAGATCAGTAAAGAAAACTCATTACAACAATTCAAGATGTTTTTCTCATGTTTTTCATCAAAATTGTATTATTTCAGTAACAGTATTGTCTATTAATGAAGTTTAGTGGAAGCATTTGTTATTCTTTCTAAGACATATCCCCCCCCCCCCCTTGCACTAAGTGTTATTTGGAAGTTAACTCAGAGATTATTCCCTTAAGATGGATTTTGCCATTAAATTTGAGGTTTTTAGCAATATATTGATGTTAGTTTTTATAAGTCAATATAAATGACCAATTGTGTTTCACAGGTTTACTATTCAACCCAACAAAGCTATGAAGATGAAAACTACCAAGTGAGAAATGACTTTAGTGGTAGCACAGCTCGAAGAAAACAGTTCAACAGCAGCAGATCTCAGTCGATGAGTCAACAAATCAATGACGATTACGATCCGGACTTCCCTCCGCCTAGAAGTAGAAATAAACCTAAAAAGCTTCCACAGATTCCAGTGAAAATAAAACCTTCTCCCTCTTTGCCACCTACTCCAGTCAAAACGCAACAACACAAACCTGCAAAAAGAACAGGATCTTTAGAATACCAAGAACCTCAAGAAGAAGTTAACTATTACCAAGATACGCGCAACAAACAAATTGACTACAATGAAGACTACAACTATGCATATCAGAGCATAGATAATCTAATACCTACTCAACCGGAGGTCATCATACCTTCAAACCAATACAAAGATACGGTAACTAGTAGAGTAACAAATCAACAAGCGTATCAAGATGCGTATCAAGATACCAATCAACAAGTATATGAAAGGAATAATCAGCAAAGTTATCAAGCAATTAATCAACAAGGATATCAAACCAACCAACAAGCTTACTCAACACAGAATCAACAGGGCTATCAAACCACTAATCAACAGAACTACCAAACAACAAATCAACAGAACTACCAAACAACAGATCAACAAGCTTATCCAACTATAAATCAGCAAGGTTATCAAGAACCTACATACAACTATTATGGAGAAAAACCTCCAACGGTCCAAGTACAAAGGCCTGAAGAAGATCAGCAGACTCTGAGCAGGAGAGACACGCTGAAGAAGCAGTTTCAAGGTAGGCAGAGACTGGAGAGTCCAAGAATATTCCAACAAAACACAGACTCACTGGAATCTAAAGATGACGATCTCAGGGATTCCTTTGAAACTGCAATGTCTTCCGTTAGCGCTCAGGGACACCAGAGCTTTAATAGTGAATACACACCCGTGCCTGAACCCAACACAATGACTGATAAACTCGATAGGTACAATAACGTCTCGGTCCATGAGAAAGGTTACAGTAATAGTTCTATCATGGACATTAAAAACGACAGATACAATCATTTAGCGCAAGAAAACGATAGATATTCCAATTCAATACAAGAAAAAGATATATTGAACGATACGGTGCAAGAAAATCATGGTTTGACTCAAGAAATGATTAACGATAGATATAATAATATACAGGAGAAAAACGATAGGTACGGTAGTACGTTAGTAGATAAGAATGATAGGTATGGTAGCAACAGTCATATCAATAGAGAGGACCTTGATATTTACGGCTCTGGTCCTGGTGTAATCGGGCCAGCAATACCAGAACGGAACAGTTCCAGAAACAATAGTCTTCAGCTAAGAGAGCAAGTTTTGTCTCAGAAACCATCTCCTGTTGCCACTCCTACCTCTAACTTTCCAAGCCAAAACCACAACCAGAGAATTCTTCAACGGCAACCGGAATCATTAGATAGTTATATCGAAGAAGACATTCTTCAGGATACAAACGAGTATTCTAGAGATTCTCCCGTGTCTGTGGTTGATCGCTATCCTCCAGACACCAACTCACTTATCGAGCCTTACCGTGCTACAACTCCCAAACCAACATCGCCCTCACCACCCAAGCGACAAGACACGTTAGATGAAGATTATGATCAGTCTTATGAGCAATCCTTCGATCAGCCAGGAGATGATTATGTGATAGAAGAAATGCCTCCACCGATTGAGCAGAAATCTTCGTTTGGAGAACAAGAAATCGTCACTGGAGATCAGCCAAAGAGGAAGAAGACGGCCAAGGAGCGGTGGCACTGGGCGTACAACAAAATCATCCACCAACTAAACGTGAGTTAAAAATTTATCTTCACATTCAATCATTTAAGCCTCTGAACTACTGAAGAAACTTGGTTTAAATTACCTTGTTAGCCAATTAATCCAAAATAGAGGTCATAATAATTTCAAGCAAATTTCATTGCATCTTTAATTCCTAAATCATTAAAAACGTTAAGACCAAAAAAAAAAACATTTGATTGGAAAAAACATTTAGGCCTCAAATAATTATAGCTGTTGGATGTAAGTACACTGTACAGAGATTGAGTCTAGCTTAACTTTTGGGTGTATTAATTTATGGCTGAACATCAAACCAAACTGAACATTCACAGAAAACGTTTATTAATTTGTTAAGTAAATTGATGATAGGCCCAAACCTACCTTCCAAGATAAGTAAGTTATTTACAAAAGAATATAAAAAGTTAAAATATAACAGTAAAAAGTCAACAAAATAGTTTTTCCATCGGTTTTCCATCGATTATTAACCAAATGACTATCATGGCCATGTTTCTTGACTTCTTTTTGAGTAAAGTTGTGCTTGTAACTGTTCACAGCAGTGTGTTTACCACACTGTTCACAGCAGAAACTTAAGTCCTTTCGATTCTTTTTCATTTCCTACCAGACACAAATAAATACAAATAATGTAAATTACCACAAGAAATTCGGATCCTCTTTTAAAAAACATTCCAAGTTCAAAATAGAAAAGAAAGCTAAGCTAGGTCTAATCAAACAAGTAAGTGAACTGAAACGAAGCAGAACTTGGGACGGGACCAGGAGAGCTAAACAAAACAGACGTCAGATCGCATAGTCACCTAGAAAAGCTAGTTCTTTTTTATCAGCGAGAAGAAGGAGAAGAAATTTATCCCCTCCACGTCTTGATCCCAACCAACGGGTGGAGGGGGGGGTGTAGGCCCCAGGTCCCGCACCAACATAGGCCCCCAAATCAGGGCCGTTTTCCCCTAATGGCGTACACGGCGGTTGCCCAGGGCCTCAGCCTAGGAAGGGGCCTCACTTAGAAAGAATGTTTTATTATTTATATGAGTTTTTTTTTTTATTGAAAGATGTGGTTACGGCTACATAGAAGTGGTGAAAATATATTGATACTGTAATAATTAGAGTACTTGCTGAACATCTAGCTACACAGTATGAGAGATAAAACACAACCATGAAAAGATTTGACTGTGTGGTATTTTCATTCAACTGCAATAAATTTTTTTATAAAGGATCAAAACTGATATTCGGTAGCTTTTTTATGTAGTTAGATTATACCCATGGATTACATAAAATAAAATAGAATCACCAAGAACAACCATAGTTACAAAGAGAACATTATTATTCTGAGCATTGGAGTGATTAGCAACTGATTGCTCCCCGACAAAACACGCTGTAATCATTGTAGCTTGTATGTTCGGGTGATTGTACTGTTGTAACTGCTGGAAAACCATCATAATTACATTGTCCACTTGATGAAGTTGTAACAATCGGTAATAGAATAATCATCTTCTGTGTTGAGACTTCTTTGTTATTTAGACAAGTTATTTATTACCTCTACAACATTTCTGGGTACGGTACAACTTTTAAAGATTTCTTGAAAAGTTTATTTGTTTTTAATTTTGAAGAAAAGAAATTGTCCAATTTAAATTTAAAGAAACACCATGAGCAGTACAATCGCTAGAATTGCCAGATTTTGGCTAAGTGTATATATAGACTAGTATATAGTCAACGGCAGATCTCAAACACAAGCTTTGGTCGGAGGGAGATGGGGTGTGGGGGCTATCGCCTTATAATGGGAACTTATTTTCGTTTGATTTTGGATGTATATACACAGATTCTCATTGTGACACGCTAAGGTCCCAAAAGATATTAATTTGTGCCCCTTACCTGCCAGAGAATTTTTCCCCTCCTTGAAGCCCTATATGTTTTGCAAAGCATATGTACAATCGCCTAACTTTTGTGTTTATTTTGGTATCTACTCTACTCTTTCTGCCTGTGTATCTGTTATTATGGATAATTGCAAAAACTAATTATCCATGAAATCAGTACTGATAATTTCAAAATCAGTTTCATTGTTTGCAATTTGGAGGTTTTCTGGTAATGGAACATATCTGATTTTGTGGTTTTTAAGACCAGATTATTTACAATATGGTACATGAAGAGCTTTAGGGTGTTGTTATGGAGGGAAAATTCAATCACAGAAATACCTCGTTTGTCAAAACTGAAGGAAGCAAATTTCTTTATTCTAATGTTTTGTCTGGATATCCAAGTGGTCAAATACCATAGACTGTTAAGTGCTTGCCTATTATCTTAGGGTGGCTGGTTTGGTACCTAGTGTGGTCAATTCTGGACATGGATGCCACTCGGCTTTGGCCCAAAAATAAAAATAAATGGCGTAAAACACACTTAAAACGACAACAAGAATAGTGAAGGGCTTATAACTTCATCAGTTCAAGTACAAATTTCTCTATGTGTTTAATTAAAATTGTGTGCATGGAAAATAAATTACCAATCAATCAATTTAGGCTACTAATTACTAAATACTATTTAGCTAAAACAGAATTCAGCACTTAAAAACGTTTTTAGTAGAGGAAGCAAATAGCATAATAGATAAAATAGTAAATAATTAACAATTCTGTGATAGTGATGAAGTAAAAACAAGCAATCAAGAAGATAAAGTGTGTCTGGCAGCCATAGATCAATGATGTGGGTTGTTAATGACAAGATGGGGTAGTGGGTTAATTGATAGACCAGGATGATTGATTCATGCTTCTAACCCGCTTCTTGATGAAACCGATTCCACCAACCGGAATTACCAATGAAAAATCCGAGATGTGTCCCCAAGTTTTAGATTTAGGTGCTTCAACTACAGACATTCTTTGTTATTAGTTATATCGGTAACTGTCGGTAGTTGTATATTGGTAGTTGTATTTATTGCTAATGATTTGTGAATAAATCCATCTTTAGTTATTCAACTTGAAGAAGTTATTTCAAGTTTTTGATACGATATATTCAATTATATTGTGTAAAACTGTAAAGCATGCTCAGTTAAAAGTTTACCTATTATCCATAGCTTTACTACTATCCATTATGTAGCCGTAACCACCTCTCAAAAAAAAATATATATATATATATCTATAAATAATAAAACATTCTTCCCGAGTGAGGTCCATTCCTAGGCCGAGGCCCTGGGCAATTGCAGTGTAGGGGAACACGGCCCTGATTTGGGAGCCTACGTTGGTGCGGGGCCTGGGACCCCCCCTCACCCGTCTGTACGCCACTGGGATCAAGACGTGGAGGGATAAATTTCTTCTCCCTAAACTGCCCAATTTTGTGAACGAAGTATAACATGAGAGATATAGTATAAGGGTTACTATTTTAAGCATCTCTATAAAAAATGTGTGAAATATTAATTTTCTTACAATCACCCGACAAAGTGGGCTTCCTTGCACTGATTATAGTACGGAAAGCTACTAATTGCTGCATTTACTTACTTTGGTGCACACTTTTTACTTTAACTATGTTGCAGGTAAAATTTTTGGCAATTCCCTGTGGCAGCAACCCTAATTACCTATAAAACCTAATTTTTATTTTACAAAAAGGTAATAAATCTTAAAATTATAAGGAGATATTTTAGTTGTCCGCATGTTTTCTGTGGCGATGGAATTTGAGTTACATATGCACTAGTCATAAGTTTTCAGAAAATATAATGAGAGTCTTAAATGGTAATTCTTTAAAAATATTTGTCTGTGGTTGGTTGTTCTATGATTGGTAATGATGATAAACATACTAAGTCACATTGTATTGTTGTTATTTTTATTACAATTTAAAATCATAAAAATTAGTGGACAATTCAAATCTTTATACATTATACTGGTTTGCTACACTCTAATGATACTCATCCCAAAATAATACACAACCTTCAACCTTTGTCAAAATCATACAAATACAGCAACATCTGTAGTCATTAGTTTGATATCATTAGGGACTGTATTTCCCTCGTTATATTGTTGCATTTGCTGCGCAAGTTAAATTTAATACAGATGGTTCCATAACTATAATACTCGTTAGCTATTGGTTGGAAAACCTAAATACCCCTGTTGCAGCAAACCTGTATGTTAAGGGAAAGTCTAGATAGATTAATTTTTGGAACTATTTTTGCAGGCAAGGGGATATTCTTATTTGTTTTTAATTTTACATGACAACCAACAAAACTGAGAAGAAAACGACTTACCACCAAGTAGGTCTTTGAATTCACCTATTTATTTGAAAAGGCTTAACTTCTTGAGCACTGTTATGTTTGAATCCAAACAATGTCAATGATTATCCTTCGTTCACAAAATGTAGGGAGTTTAGGGGAAGAAATCTTTCCCCTCCATTTAGCCCTAACGAACAAGCACAACAGCTAAGGTTTACAAAAACGTCAATCAGCTGCAATATATAAAAAAAATTTTGGGTTAACTTCCGTCTAAATTTTGCGAATGAAGTATATGTTTATTATACTAGAATTATTTCAGCTCAGAAGGTCAATTTTATAAGTTAAACTTGTAAGGTTTCCTTAGACTTGTTTTAATCATTTTAGTATAAATGTTATTTGATTGAATGTTTGTAATTAAATCTATTGATTTCACCTTTTTAAAAGTGTTTTGATAAAAGTAGGTCGACCTTAATTTACTTCAATAGGGTTCAATCTAGGGACTTTAAATGATTTTACTACTGTATGCCGAACACTAGTCCATATAAGCTTTTTATTATTTATTTGATGAATCCAGAATTTTGAAATCTTTTTAAAAATCATTAACATTATTTCAAGCTAAAGCCAAACAAAATAAAATGTCTCCAGCCCGAACCAGATAATATGTTGTGTAGTTTTATAAACAAAGTTTTTCAGTCTAAGATAAAGGAAGCTAAAATAATATTGTATGTGTGAAGAAGCGAATGGTTTCATATGGAAAAGGTAGAAAATTGTAAGCCAAGTGACAGAAAATATTTCTCGAGATTTTAAGAAACACCAAAAATGAATACTTATAACAAAGCTTCAGGCAAAACGTTACTCTGTGTTGAGATTACTCATGTTTAAAGAGAACTCTTTGCCATTTGTTGTAAAAATGGATGGTGTTTCAAAGCATGAAATTTTCTTTTCAACCCTATTCTTTACAAACAAGTTTATACTTTATGAAAGGAAACGACTTTCAAATTCTTTACCCTTTTAGTGAATTTCCCGTATAGGGAATAAGCTATTACCGTAGTACTCATGGTAAGACCTGGACCTGGGACCGATTTACTTTTTCCATTTTGAGGTCCCTAGAGGCCAAAAACACCATACGTTCAAATTCATATATGTATATATTTAAATATATATATGTGTGTCCGTTAGCACGATAACTCGAGCAAAAATGATCCGATTTTGATGAAATTTGGTATAAATGTGTAAACCTACATTTATTTGAACAAGTTCTCGAACCAGCATGATCGAACTATGAGAACAGGGGTTTATGGGGTAAAAATTTGTTTATCTCATTATTGACCATTTATTTATAAATAAAAGCGTTTTTATGCGCCTAATGGTTACGGAGAAAATTCCCAAAAATTATAAATTTAAAATTCCTGGGGTATAGGTAAATTGTCGTAGTTTACTTGTTTATGAACATATTTTGATTAAATTTGGAAGATGTATTTATTTCTTACTAAACTAACATTTTACACAAAAAAAAAACACTTTTACCCTCCCTGTTGCAGCAAACCTTTGTACTCGTTAAACTAATTATATTTAAATAAGGAATTAATGTGATATTTTGAAGGAGACATTTTAGTGTAAATCCAATCAGGCATATGGAAATTCGCTTAGTCTGTAGGTTTGCTGCGGTGGGGTTATTTTTTTAAAAGGTCGTTGGTTTGTTTTGGGTAGATTTATAAATATTGTATTTGCATCCCAAGTAGTCACAGGGTTCGGAAATAGTCAAATATTTTGAGCCAAAAATAATATTAAGGCCGTGATGTGTGGGTGAAAAGGTAATTAGGTTAAAAACAATACAAACCCTAATGGGTTTTAAAAGTCAAATTGACTGAATTTCCAACTACTTTATATAATGAACTTTATGAAATGAAATGAGGATCATTTAATTATTGTTGTACCCTTCATTTTAAGCTCAAATTAATACATCGTATAAATCATGATAAAACGCAAATCGGACAACATTTATTTTTAATACTATGCATAAATTAACAATTTAAATTTAAAGTGCAATTGATGAAGTAACAGCTCAAATTTATTTGTAATGTAATCAATAGTTAAGCTGTATTAAAATGTAATTTAGCCAAACGTATGTTTAAAGAAATATATTTCTAGAAATGATATAATCAATCAATAATATATATTTAATCACTAGGGCGTAAAGTCTTTTCAACACGAGCTGAAACACAATCTGGCCTGTGTATTGAACTTTATTTTTCGACATACTACTCAATTTTGTTATCAAACTAAGCTATACACTAATGCAACAATGAGCTACAATCCATTAAAACAATCAATGGATAGATGCGATTGCTTCTAATCAAATTTTAGAAGTGAGCAACCGGTACTGATGATTTTAATTCTTTAGGGTCTAGGTAGTTTTAGTATATTTCATCACTAGATCGTAGACTCTTTTCGGCACGCACTCAAGTTTCAGGGACCCAAAATCAGCTGTAGTGAACTAAGTTGTAAACTTAAATATTAATCAATTACATGCATCGAAAATTATATACGGATTGTTTTTTAATCGGTTGTAGCTTATTTTTCGTTCTTGGCAATAGTTGGCCATATCGATAGTATAATGTACTAACACAATCGTAATAGGTACGGTAGGCGAAATGATTATTTCTGTTTCGTAACTTAGTTTGCTTAAATAATGATGCAATGTGACGAAAAATATAGTTCTTCACACGGACAAAAAGTGTATCTTCAATCCTCGCTCACTTCCCGACCTTGGCTTCGCCTTGATTAAAATGAGTCACTTTACACCCTAGTGATGTACTATTATGAAAAAGAGTTTTTTTATACAGTTATTTGTGTTTTTTTTTCAGGTGAGTACTAATAACGTCTGGTGTTTATTTCTGTGAAATGTGGTAAGTGTGACACTACTTTTAATATAAATTTATTCTTGCTCAGTTTGGTTTATAAATATATTGAAAAGTTGTTAAAAAGGATTATTGTCACATTACACATTTTTTTGTTTGATTGCCATGGAGACCAAAGCCCGACCTCAGAACTTTAAAGGCCTCTGGAAAAGCCATTAGTCAAAATATCGAGACAAAAACATTTCTATAACAATTCATGGAGTAAATCTCTTTGTGTTAGATTTCAGATCATTTTAGTCGGATGGTTTTTGTGGTAAAATACATCTCATACTTATAAAAAAGAGAGAACTCTTGCTAACAATGTTGAATTCAAATGACACCAAAAATGATCATGTCGAATCAAAAATGAAAAAAAATGCAACCCCAATCATCTTACTCAAACTCGTAGTATATTTTACTACTCTGCTTTTATGCTGAATTGATATTGAATCACAATATCAGTTACTTGTCTAGGATAGAATGAATTACATTCTAAGAAATGTAAGAATGAACGTAATTTATTATAATAAAATCACTATTAAATAAAAAAAGTCACCAATGCAATGTACAATTCTCACGTTAAGACGGCATTTTAATTGTCTGTGTTTTTTTTTCTCATAGATTTATTTTGTACTAGCTGTTTACCCGTGCTTCGCAACGGAAAGGCACTGGAGCGAAAAAATTTGATCTTGATTTCTGTTGTATAAAATAGTTACACATTCCCCTTTGGTTTCAAAACATAACTCAATTGAAACTCTCAGTTTGACAAATATCTTTCTTTAAGGCTAGGCTAACTTATAAGGCTACCTAGTACGAATTATATGAGGCGCTGATGCATTTATGGAAATGATGTACCCATACGATTCAATTTTCAAATGATAAGCTTTCTTAAACATCCATTTCGTTCATAAACGTACATAAAGTAAATAAGGAAAAATAATCGCACAACATAAAGCACTGTAGTAAAAGCAAAAAAAAAATTGTTTATATTGATTTCACATATAATTGATATGTTTTACCGTAGCTAATGAGCTGTTTTCAAAGTTCAACCTTTAACTGATGCAGATCAGTGTGTATATATCACAATAATAAGCAAAAATAAACTAATGAAAAACTTGAATTACCTTTTGTTAGAAGGCCTACTACTATTATTGTTAATCAGGGCACAAATTTCACAAATTTAAATATAAATCAACAACGAAATACA